GATAGGCCCCGGGAGACGGGGGGGGCCGGGAGTCCTGGGAAGATAGGCCACGCGAGACGGGGGCCTGGGAGTCCTGGGCAGATAGGCCACGCGAGATGGGGGGCCAGGGGTCCCGGGGCAGATAGGCTCTGTGAGACGGGGGTCCTGAGGCAGATGGGCTGTGGGAAATGGAGTTCCAGGAAGATGGGCCGCGCGGGATGGGGGTAGGGACACCAGAGGATCGGCCGCGCGGGCCGAGCGAGGGCGCACTTTGCAGCCTTGTGGTGCAGCGGTGTTGCGTTCTCGGTGTTCACGCGCTTCTCCCTGTACGCCCGTGCGCTCGAGCTTTGCGCTCTGGCGGCTTAACCTGCCTGTTGGTGCTGACTTTCTGGGATGGGTTGGTCCCTCATTCTCTTTCTTTGAGGGACTAGGAAGGATTTGGCCTCTCAGTCTTGAAGAATTTTGAACTTAAAGAATTAGGAAACGAGCTAGTTGATTCCTAGAACAGCCACTGAGGTGGAGCAGATTTTGAGGCTTTGAGGGTGACCGCGTTTGAGGAGAGACGGGCTTGCAGCCTGGCTGTTTGGTTGTAAGTGCGTGAAGGAGGGCGAGGATAGGGATGAAGGCGGGTAGTCCAGAAGTTCCTGGTAGCCCGTTCTTTGCTTTAGGAAGGTGGATGAAGGAGTCAGGAAAGGTTTCGAAAAGTGGGGAGCCCTGTGAAGCAGCGGGCGCTTGGAGAAAAGGGATTAACGCAGTTGAGGATTTCTTCTAGGGTTTTGTACCTTGAAGTGCGAAACTGTGATTTAATGCTTATAAATAGTGGTTTTACAGGCAACTTTTCTGCGCAGCGTTTATAAGGCAGCGCTTGGGCTAGGTTCGGGTTCCAGCCTCACTTGCCGGCTCGCAGCAAGTGCTGGGCGAAGGGAGAGGATTTTGGCTGCTTTATCTTCCATCTAGCAAACTTTGTAATCGCTGAAGTTTGCCAGGAGATGGAAAATGTGATTGTTCGATGTATTAAAACAGGGTTTTTTTTTTTTTTTTTTTTTTAAGTTGGCGCGGTCTGGTCATTGTTATCCGACCTGTTCTGTTGTGCATTCCCTGAGGGTCCTCACCTTTGAAACACCGCTTCCAGTCTCACCATTGTGAGCAAATAAGCCTTATCTGATATGTTAATGTGAATGTTTTTCGCCTTGGGAGCATAGTACTTAGATGACTTTTGAGAAATGCCTTTAAAGTGCCTTTAATGTCTAACAAGGAGTAGGCCCAGAGGCACAGTGGTTAAGCGCTCTGCTACCAACCTAAAGGTCAGTGATTTGAAACCCTGTGGGGCAATTTTGCTCTGCCCCATAGGGTCATAATGAGTCACCACGGGACTTCAAGACAGTGGGTTTGGTCATCTTCTGTTGGGCATTTCTAAAACAGGTGTTTTGAAAAGGCAGATAACTTATTGTGCTTTTGTTAATCATGAATTTAGATTTCTATTGTGAAATGTAGCTGACACTTTTAAGTCAACTTGTGCAAGATTTTGAATTGAAAGGATTTCATTAATTCTCCATGAGCTAGTCATGGTTAAGCTTTAAGAAAATATTGGAGAAACTAATTATTTACCTTGTGGGGAGAAGGGGAAATGTATGGTGTGCTTACTATGATCCAGGCTTGATGCTAAGGTGCTTAACTAATTTAGTCTTAAGCAGTCCTATAAAGTAGACATTATTCCAATTTTACAGATTAAGAAATTGAGACGGGGGTTAAAGACCTACCTGAGAGGAAATAACTAATTTTGCAACTTGAATTTGGGTTCAAGCCTTTCTGATTAATGCCCATGTCTTTGCAACATGCCCTGGTAATAAGAGGTTCGAGAATTGATTTTCTAAGAAATTGTTGTGATACTTGCAGTGCACAGGTGGAAATGTGCATGGAGAGTACATGACCCTAATGGTTTGTGGTCCAGGTGCTCTGTGCACAGTTCAGTTGGGAGGATGGATGAATTGTCAGATAATAGCAGGAAACAGTGGATGTCCTTGATAATATATTCATTAAATCTTCATAATCAATCACTCTATGGAGTTTGTACTGTTACTATCCTCATTTTATAGATTTTTAAATGGAAGCACAGAGAAGTTGGTTAAGTTGACCAATGTCACACAGCTAGTAAGTGGGAGAGTGGGGACCCAAGCCCAGGTGTTCTGACCCCAAATAAAGTCTTAATGTTATTAAGCAATATGTGGCAATTGTCTGAAAAACATTAAAGAGTCAATGTTCTGGTAGTTCAAGGAAAGCAGTGTCACTTCCAGATAGAGTGATCATTGACCTAGCACCAGTGTTTTTTTGCAGATGGAACTTGAATTTTAAACCTTGAGGTTGAATAGGTTCTCCTAGGTGGAGAGACATGGTATTATGAACACGGGGCATGACAAGACCGAGAGGTTCAAACGATGCAAGATTGCTGTTAGTTCATAAGTATGCCACCAAAGTAAAAATACTGGAAGTCCAGTGGTAGACTCCATGCATACTGTTCTGTGTCTAAGGGGTTATTGAATGTTAGATTTCTATTGTAAAGTATAAATGACAGTCACTTGGAGGGAGGGTGTTTGCTGCTTTTTTGTTTTATTTTTATTGTGATTTGGGTGAAAATTTACAGAACAAATTCATTTTCCATACAGCATTTCATACACATTTTGTTACATCACACTGACTGCAATCCGCATAATATAACACTCTCTTCCCACTTCCTCCCTGTAGTTAGCTCTTCCCAGGTGTTCTTGCCTTTGTATTCCTGGCCCTAGAGCTAGCTCCCGGGGCAAATGCTGCCCTTCTGATCTCCCTTGGTTGATTGTTCTAAGGAATTTACCTACCTGGTGTAAATGTTCGCCTTATAAGCCTGTCTTGTTTGGCTGGAAGCCACGGGAATGAGTTCAATTCCAGGCCTGAAGGGTGACTAGGAGCCATAGTCTGTGTGTGTGTGTTGGGGGGGGGGTGTTTCACGCGCCTGATAGAGCCTGTATCTTTACAAAGATATAGCAATCCTGTTCCTTTTTTTTTTTTTTAATTTTTTTTTTTTCTCTCTCTCTTTTTAAATTACTTTTACTGTGGTGAAAAGATACACAAGACATTCCCCAACATAATAACTTCCACATTTACAGCTCAGGGACATTGATGACATTTTTCACGTTATGCCACCATTATTATTGTCCTTTTCTAAAATATTCTACCACCATTAGCTTGAACTCAATGCCCTGCAAACAAAAGCTTCCCCTTTACTCCTCCCTCCTACCCTTGGTGACCACTAATAATTTTTGCTTTCTTTTTTTTCCCAACCTATCTGAGAATTTTCGCTCACCTACTGTCCCATCCCACCCCTGGTAACCAACAAAGAAAATTTTCTTCCACAATTAAACCTTTCCTTGACTTTTTACAATAGTGGACTAATACAGTATTTGTCCTTCTGTGATTGACTTATTTCACTCAGCAGAATGTCCTACAAGTTCATCCACGTTATACAGTATTCTGCAGATTCTACATTATTCTTTAGGATTTTATATTATTCCATTATGTGTATATACCACAGTTTAATTATCCATTCTTTCATAGATGGGCATTTAAGTTGTTTCCATCTCTTTGGTATTGTGAATAGTGCTGCAATGAACATGGGTCTGTCCTGGCTCTCACTTCTCTAGGCTATATACCTAGTAATGGGATTGCTGGATCAAATGGTATTTTTATTTCCAAATTTTTAAGGAGTCACCATACCCATTTCTGTTTTACAGACCCACCACCAGTCCCGGCCTCTCTACATCCTCGCCAGCATTTGTTATATTTCTGTCTTGAACTTTGCTATTAGTGCTGGAGTGAGATGGTATCTCATTGTTTGAATTTGCATCTCCAATAAGCTTAATCTTTTTTATGGTTTTTTGTTTTGTTCCACGTTTTTTCCCACTCTTTTCAGGATCTCTTGCACTGATCCCTTACAGAGTGGTTGACAGTGGTAGCCAGGCACCATTTACATCTAGTTCTTCTGGTCTCATGGTCATGTAGGCTGAGGTTTGCATGGTCCACTAGTCCCCTGGACTAATTGTTTCCATGTGTCTTTGCTTTTCTTCATTCTTTGCTCCAGGTGACAAGAGACCAATTGTTTTATCTAGATGGCTGCTTGCAAGCATTTAAGACCCTGAAATGAGTTTTATTCTTTCATTAACACCTCTCTTTTCCTAACTTGGATGCGTGTGTTCAAATTTTTAATTCAAGATAAAATCTGATAGTATTGTAGTCAATGTCTTTTTCTAGTTAATGATTTTCTAGGAGAGTTTTTTGGCTTATATTTCACATATATTTATTTCGGTTTAATATAAGATTTAACAAGTTAAACAATTGTCATATTAGTCCAGAAATGGACCTTAGATGTAACCTTGGCCAGTTTTCACCTGGCAAGTAAGGAAGTGGTGTCTTAAGTAGTCTGTCCACTTCATGTAGGTGGTGGTGGTGGTGTTATTTGCCGTCGAGTCGCCCCCGACTCATAGTGACCCCTCCTTGGGTTTCCGAGGCAGTATCACTACGGAAGTAGGATTGCCCAACCTTCCTTCCGAGGAGTGGCTGGTAGGGGCCAAATGCAGAATAGATTCCTGACTCCCATTTGGGGGCTTTTCCCAGCATGCTCTGCCTCCCTAGATAAAAAAAAGCCTTTGATTCATATTTCTAGTCATGGTGAAGATAGCCCTTTGATTTTTAAAGACTTCTTCTAAATCATTAATGGAAGAATTCTTGTTTTGTTACTCTAAAATTCAACCAGGACTCCAGTTTGATTTGAGGTGTCATTCTGAGAGCATGTCCATATTAACATGTGTGAAGAAATTTTCTTTTATGCATTGCTTTTCAGGAGTTGAAGGTTTACCAGCGGTAGATAAGTAAGCAGTTTCACAAATAAACTCTCCAGCAACTTTAAAAAAGAAATAGACCCGACCCAACCCAACGAAGCGGAGTTTATCCTGTGGCACAAAAAAGATGTCTAGTGGTTCCAGTGAAGCTGATGTGGTTTGTATTTCAAAACAAAAATCTGTGTTTGTTCTCCTATATTTCCTTTTTTTTTTTAACTAATTTGAATTTCATACAGTGAAATACACAGATCTTAAGTGTTCAGTTCATGAGTTTTGACAGTGATGAGACCATTTAATCCACACTTCAGTGAAGATATAGAACACTTCCATCACCCCAGAAAGTTTTCTCATATGCCTCTCTAATCAGTTGTCACACGTACCCTCAAAAGCAGTGTTTTGATTGTTCTAGAACTTTGTGTAGTTGGAGTAATACAGTATGGGCTCATTTGCCTGATTTCATTCCCTTAGTGTGATGTTTTTGAGATTTATCTGTGCCATTTCATTTAATGGATAGTAGTTCATTCCCTTTTTTGCTGTATACAATTCTGTTTTATGAATATGTACACTTTGTCCATTCTCGATGGACATTTGGATTGTTTCCTGGTTGGGGCTATCAAGTATAAGGCTGCTATGACCACTGCTGTACAGGTCTTTTTGTGAACATATGTTCACATTTCTTTTGAGTAATTCTTAGGAGTTGAATTAATAGGTCATGGGGTTGATGCAAATATAACTTAATGAGACTTTGCCAGTTTTTCAAAGTGGTGGAACTGTTTTTCATTTCCATCATATTCTGCTGTGTTTTTTCATCCTTGAAGTTTAATTATTCAACTATATATATATAATTTGGCTTAACAGAAAACACATTAATTAGTTTTATTAATTAATTAATATCCACATCCTTAGGTGGATATTAATGCCGTCTAAAGTAGGATAGGCAAATTTCTTGACTTCTATCAACCCCTATATTTTCATCTGTAGAGATACTGTTAACTGCCTTCCAAGAGTCATGGTTTCTGACATAATTATCTGAAAGCACTTGAAAAGCGTAAGGCACTATATACAAGGAGAAGATAGTGATACTGTTTTTATGAGCACTAATCCATAGTACAATGCCATATTATTGTGGCTGTCTAATCAGTGCAAGGCTAATTTGGGTAATTTTCTATCATACATTTTGAAACAGTGCATACCTGAGCCACTGAGTATGTTCACTTTAAAATTATTCTTATGTTCATAATTCATTCTTAGAGTAAGGAGTTATGAAATGTAATATTTCCTTGTATTCTGCTTTATTCTAAAAAAAAACATTTAACGTGATTTAGAGATTAATTTAATTTGCTAAGAAAAATAGGTAATTAAATAGTTTCCTATTTTGTCCACATAGTGGCACTATTGGATTATTTGAAAATCAAAAACTGGCTAGAATTTTGCACCTTTGCTCCTGGTGAGAAATTCTTGCTTTTTAATAAAGTTCTTGTACAAAATCACCAGGTGGCTAGTTTTTCAACTCTGAAGTACGTAAGAGGTCAGCTTGATGGGAATAGTGCATTAATTGTAGTTGAGTTAATGAGAAAACAGTTCTGCAACAGTTTCTTGTAGTGGTAGTTTTTGCAATGGGCAAAAGTTCTTTGATATCACAAATAGGCCTTTAGAAGCTTCTTGACAGTGAAATTGAAGTCCTGAACTTTTCTTTCACTTCTTTCTTTCCTCTTTCCTTTTGTTAATAAATCTTCCTCAGATAAGAACACGGATACCTACTTATGACGATGATAATACTGTCCTTTATGCATATGAACCAAACAAAACATTTATCAATGATGTAAGTAGTAATGCTAATTGCTCCTTGCCAAATGTATTAACACCACGTTAAAGATGGAAATTCCTTTTTGGCCTTCAATATACTATGTAGTTCCTCCAAAGGCACGTTCAAGAAAGTGTTTCTCCCCTGAGTTTGTACGCATCCTCTCATTAGACAATGGCCATTTAACCATTTTACTTCCCTTATTTCTTTATATAAGAGGAAATTCAGAGCAGTTTTGTATTTGTTTTCACTATAAAATTCATTTCTTTTCTAATACAATCCTTCGTATCCCCTTTCTTACTTGTGTCTTGTCATTTACATTCTCATGTTAATGTGAGTTTTTATTTCATTTTATCTCTGCTTAATATTATTAAGAGTTCTGAAATCCTTTAAAATGTGGGTGAAAAAGAAATAGAGCCAATTTTAATAGACACATAGTGTGCTTTTTTCTCTGTGTGTTCACTTTAGCTCTTACAGAATTTAACAAATTAATTTTAAAATATTAGCAGGTAAAAGGTACCTCTGACATGCCCTGCAGTGAAACACAACAAAAAACTGTTGAAGAAGTTCTTACCCACTGCCAGGTATGAAAATTTTCCCTCTCAAATATGGTTTTCTAAAATATGGAGCCCAGATTTTCTTTAATTTGATGTCATTGTACTAGTAATAGAAATTTTGTCATATCAAATTATGTATGAGTATAACCCCATTGTGATCATTTTTAAAAATTTATCATTTGAACAGCATCCTCAGGTGGAAATTTTGAAATGGCAATATATAGATTTTTGTAGCTCTTATCAAGTGTAGTTGTATTTTTCATCTAGATTGTTCGATATTTAATTTTCCCTGCAAAATCTTTACAGGACATTGGCTGATTTGGCCAGTGGGTGTTCATCAGTGTCTCCTGGAGGGCTTGTTAAAACTCTGATCCCTGCCCAGGCTCTGGGAGTTGCTGACTCAGTAGGTCTGGCGTGGAGCCTGAGACTTGGCATTTCTAACAAGCTCACTGGTGTGATATTGATGCTGCCCATTTAGGATGACACTTTGAGACCCACTGCTCTAGGCTGGGAAGCACTTTGTCTATTGAAATAGTTTCTTCACTTGTCTTCCTCCCTAGCTGAAATGGGGTTTCTTTTAGGGCAGGGACTTTGTTTTATGTCCCTGGTCCTAATGCCTAGCAAAGCCGTTCTGATAGGTGGTAGGCCCTCAATAAATGTTCATTTGAAAAATAATGAGTGGATACAGGAATAAGGAAGTGTGTCTGGACTTTTATTTAAGTGTTTATTTTGCCCAAAAGAAATTTCTGTGTATTCCAAGAAGCATTCTCAATTTTTTCAGTCATGTATGCCATTGGCATACAGGAGACATGTATGTACTCAAAGGGGTTAATTGGTGGTTGTGTGATTTTTAAACTACTTTGAGGCCAGAAGTCAGTTACATTTGGTTTAGTGTTATCTCCACATTTGAATGCTCACTGCCTGTTAAGTTCACATGGTATTTTATTATATGGAGGGAGACTCTTTGACCTTTTAGCAGATAGATAAGAAAATTCTTTTCCTAAAACTGCACCCTCCTTGATGTGAAAGGTCCCATCATAAATGTGGCGGGTTATAGGAATTGTGGCACACTTACCTGCCAGTATTAAATTTCTTTTCAATGCCTATAAGAAATAGAGTCCACTACAAAGTTGGGGCTCCTTATCTCAGCCACTCAGGTAGTAGGTCACCTAAAGCCAGGCATCAAGTGGGAAACAAGAAACATCTGACAGCTTGAAAACTACCTTTCTTTCTTTCTAGCAGTTAAAATTTGGCTTCCTGGTATTTTATTTTTTATTACTTTTCTTTCAAAATGTAAAGTACTAAAATAGCTTGTGTTATAATAGGTCATATATGATGCTATTCAAAACCTGGATAAGAAGTTTGATTTGATTGATGGAAAGGTTTCAAAAATGCACCGTTGTCGTAGGAGATCATGGGAAAATTATGTAAGTGTTACCAAAATATTTTCAAAACTATGATAAACCTCCAGGTCCTAAAGGTCCTGGTCAACTAGAAGTAAAAGAGAAGTAATAATTCTCAGATTAGCTAAGCAGATCTATACTTGCTTAGTAGCAGATTCTCTTGGAAAAACACTAAAGTTTAGATTTAATAAATGTGTGACAACAAGTATTTTGTAACTGTAATGTATAAAATATAATTATAGGGCTAAATAAGACTTAAAAATAAATAATATAATCAAAATAGCACCTTTATCTTCAATAATGTAAAGCAGTACTAGATGGAAAATAAATATTAATGAATCTACTTAATTTCTTTCCTTTTTTTAACTTAACTTATTTCAGAAGTCACACCAAACTTCTGACTGCTCAAATTGCAAAAGAAACAAACACGAGAGAGTAAACAGAAAGGGTTCTCCTGCTGTGTTCAACTATCCTGAAAGCTATAGCCCAACTTTACCAGTGGGAAGACGGGGAAGTGATTCCCAAACCAACTATGATGGATCATCTTTACCGTCAGAGGGTCCCACTGATTTGGATCGGTCAGTCTGTGATGAGCAGGACCAAGACTTCAACCAGAGTCCCCAGACTCCTTCAGTCTTCTCTACACAGTCACAACAGTCATGTTACACACCAGATGACCCAGCGCCTGGTCCTTCTTCAGGGCCCTGCTTTTCCAGCCCAAGGGGGTCCAACACCGGTGTATACTCACCTACCCAGCCTGTCTCCACAGCATCTGCTCTGATAGGCATCCAAGGAGAATTCAACCAGGAATACGACCATGAGGTGATGGGTTACTCAGATGTAATAGAGAATAAGAACGTTGGCCAACATACTCTGTGCGCCCCTTCCAGCTTTGGTGAGTTTGAAATGATACATATTACAAGTAGCATTGTTGGAACTACGTTCATTAGCATCCTTCATGCAAGCTAGGATAGGCTTTTTGTTTCCCCTGTTGAGGGCTGGTCTCATGCTTTTTGGGTGGTAATGGGGGAGGGGGCAGGAGGCCGTATTTCCCTAATCAGCTTGGCAGTTAAACCACTTCGGCATCTTTGTTGAGTGCTTCTTTCACTTCAGAAGTGCACAGCTATCATTTCCTTAGACCAGTGGTTCTCAACAGGGATGATTTTTGTCCCCCGTGGCTCATTTGGCAATATCTGGAGACATTTTTTATTGTCACAACTATAGAAGGGTGGGAGTGTTTCTGGCATCTAGTGGGCACAGGTCAGGGGTGCTGCTTAATATCCTGTAATGCACAGGACAGCCCCTCATAGCAAAGAATGATCTGGCCCAAATGTCAGTAGTACCAAAGTTGAGAGATCATATCCTTTATCAAAGAAGAAAATATCATTAATAATACCTGTCTTGAGATATCATTAGTAATGTTTTCTTTAAGAATATGGGAAGTGGGTCTTAAAGCCCACCCTTAATATCACACCCCTGCCCCACAACCTCCTGCCCTGAAGGTTTCATTACTCTCTACCTAACATCTCTTCTTTTAGGATATAACAATCAGGTCAATTAATGATTTCTCTTTTTCCCTCATTGAAGTTGGAAGTTCAGGATCTGAGTTCCATGGCCTGTACCAAAGCTACTTGAAGGACCCTTCAGACTGGTCTGTGGATGAAGTGATACTGTTTATAAGACAAACAGATCCTCAGATATCAGTCTTCCTGGAGGAACTCTTCAGACAGCATGTAATGTATCTTTCTGTTGGGGTTTTTCTGCTGTAATGTCTTTGAATAACCTCCGTGCAGACCCTTCAGTTGTACTGATGAGTGTCAGTGATGGGAGAACTGCTTTTCCTGTATATGTAAAAGGTTATCGCACCTAAAGTTAGACCCTTAAATTGTAGGGGCTGGGTCTGTTCTCTAAATCAGTACCCAGGTACCTAATATACTAAATGTCTTCAAAATGGTTTGACACATAGGGCCCTTCTTAGAGATACTAGGTTAAATTTCCTTTTTCTTAAAATTTGAAATTTGTAAATTATCCAGATGATGTTGCTCTATATAAATTATACTTTTAATAGTTTCCACGAAATAGCTGCATATTCAGAGAATCTACAGTGTACAGTTGCTCTCTTGCTTGTTTTACGTGTTCTTATATATAAAGAAATAATTTCTGCTAAGAGAGGAAAGCATTCCAATTAATTGTCATCATTTTCTTCCCTCTGTAGGACATTGATGGGAAGGCTCTGCTGCTCTTGAAGAGTGACACAATGATGAAGTACATGGGGCTCAAGCTGGGGACAGCTGTGAAGCTCTGCCACTACATTGAAAGACTTAAGCAGGAAAATTACCTCACTGGCTGAACAACTGTTAGTTTCAGTGTAGATCTGGACTTGTTTTGGGGGGGACCACTGCATTATCCTTTTTTGCCTCAGCCATTTTTATTTTTTTTTTAAGGTCCCTGTAGTGTGTTATAACCAGAATTGTAGAATTACATACAGTCCAGTCTACTTCCTTAAAAAACATGCTAGTATTGAAATATTCAAATTGAAAATTCATTCTTATGTCTTTTTATTACTTCCAATTGTTCACTTTATAAGTATACTTCATACAGAGAACAGAAAACCTTCTGATTTTGGTTAATCTTTATATATAGAACCAAACCAGCTAAATCCCCAAAGGGAAATGTCAGGGATTGAAAACTTCTGTAATTAAATCCATGAGACGTTTTCTTAGAAGGAAATTTAAAGGTCCAACTGTAGATAGCATCTCTTCTTCTAATAGCTACCTACTACTGCAATGTTCTGTTCATATTCTAGTTTCCTGAAAGAGGATAGCCATAAAAATGATTCTTTTCTCTGTTTAATTTCTCTGTATGTTGTATTTATTCAGATCTGAAGGAAAAAAAGCAAGCTTGTGAGTTTTCATAAAGTGTTCCTACTAGGTTTTTTTTTATAGATAGATAGATAGATAGAAGTTTTATGCAAAAGATATTGCACTGCAGCAGTGGTTTGGAAGGTGTCTTGACTACATTTTTTTTTCCAATAGATACTTACAATTTTAAAAGGTTCCATTTATTGGGTAAACTTGGACATTTAACTAACTAGTCATTCATTGCACACATCTCTATATGAAGATACTGATGTCCAAATTTTTAAGATATATATTTTATTACATGTTTACTTCTCATATGATACTGTACCTTATTTATATTTTGTTCTCTACCTGTAGTTATACATACAAGTATAAATCTTTTGTTTTTTGAGTTTAAAATGGCATTTTGCACTGCCACAGAGTTAATGATGCACTGTGGATATTGTTAGATGTTTTTATTCTATAAAAAAAATAACGTGCATCATTTGCTATCACGGGTACCTCTCAGCTTACTCTTCAGGGGATAAGAAACAATCAGTAGATTGGTTTCCATACAGGGAATTTCTCTGTTCTATGCAATGTTTCTAGTTCATTTGTTTGGTTCTGAGCCATTTATTATGCTAAATTTATTTTGGAAGATGTGTTCTGACTTGTCATTTGGGGCTTTGATATAAAAATTAAAACTTCCAAGAGAAATATGTTCATTGTTATTGTTTTGTCATTATATTGTTATTACTTTGTTAGTAGTAGTTTGTATTAATGGTGTCATATTTATAAGCTATGAGAATGGGTGCTAATAGTATCACCTATTTGTTTTAAGTTCCGATAGAACATACACCAAGGACAAGATCGTACATTTTATTTTTAGGAAACCAAACATACTTTATATACAAATGAAACTACACTGTTATTCCTTATGTTTTATAAGACAGGATTTTAACTTACCTTGTTTTTATTCGGATTGTATGAAGATACTGTCCCCAGTTGAACATTCCTCAGGTGTTTGTACAAATAATATGTTGTGCAATTTTCAGATTTTAAAGTTCAATAAAGTTTAAATAACCACAACAATTAATGTCAAAGCCTCAGATTTTATTTCATTTTATTTTACCATGTTACATTAATGTATGGATTTATTACAGCTAAAAAAACAACTCTAGTTAGTTTGAGGTTTTATATGTACAAATGCAGGCAGTCCCTGGATTACTGACAACTCCTGTTAGCTCTTTAATGTTACATGAATTAGCCCTCGTTTTGAAATGATGGAACCAACCCCTCCAAAAAGTGAACTAATCTAACTCATAGTGACCTTTAGGTTCCTGAGGTGGTAAATCTTTACAGAAGCAGATTGCCCCATCTTTCTTCCACAGAGGTAGCTGCTGGGTTTAGAACCACCAACCTTCTGGAGTAGTCAAATGCCTTAGGTACCACACCACCTGAGCTCCTTAGAAATTACCCCTACTTGCAACAAATTCTTCATCACAATCACCTTATTGCTGCATGCTAAGAACTGTATGTACCTGTTCCAACTTACCTACAGATTCTTAGACACAGAGACAGATCTCTTTCATACCCTGGGGACAGCCTCTAATTGAATTTTAATATTTGACCTCATTCTCTCAGTAAATAGATTTCTGGGAGCAAAGGGCTGATATCTTGGAAGGAACTTTAAATGAGACCCCCGGGGGACCTGTAAGAAGCCATGTTTTCTTTATCTCTGCTCAAAACTTGTTCCCTACAATGTTACCAGTTGTTGGAACATGCTAGAAATCTCCAGTGCCTGCAACATAGCTTCTCCCATTTGAGTTCATACGCCTGCCCAGCAAACTGGCTACTTTAACCACTGGGAGCCAGAAGCCACATCCCTGATACACCTGGTATTACCCTTCTGGCTTCAGATCTCCCAGACTACTTAGAAGTACAGGGCACAGTTAAATAGCCTTATTATTACATCCCGTCTTATTTCTTGTTCACAAGAATGTGAGATGTGGATGGTGGTTCCGGGACCCAGGCTCCTTCCATATTGTGGCTTCACATCCCCTAGGGTCTTAGGGTTCTTTGATTCCAGGTGGCAGAGGACAAGGCACATATTGCTTGTATTCCCATTCCAGTTGACTGGAGCTCAGTAACTTGGCTCACACCTAACTGAAATGGCAGCTGGGAAAACTGTGCCCAGGAAGACAAGTGAGTTTTGGAAGACAGATAGCAGTCTCGACCATACATCATGATCCTAATAGCAAAACAAACCATTAACGGCTCCTTTTCAGTATATCAGTTTCTCTGTTATACCCTCTCCCACATCCCCATTACACTCACACTGACTCCCCTTTCCCTCCTTCCTCGCTTCAGCTTTTTCAGAGCACTTAAATTTGTGGTTGGTTATAGTATTATTGCCAATCATTGGCTTTTCCCTTCCCTTGTAAAAGGGTCCACATCCCATCCATTGCTTGGGCATTACAGCTCCTCCTTGAAGGCAAAATGTTGCCCACTCCCTCGTTTCACTGGGCCCTGAAACCTGCTTCGAGCAGTGGGATGTGAGTAGACCTGAAGAGCACCGCCTCTGAGAAGCAGCTCTGTACATGCGCAGTTCATCTCTCATGGATCCATTTCCCTCTGCTCTGAGAATGGTGTGTCCTGAATAGGGGCTGCTTCTGCAGAATAAGTCAGAAGCATCCTAGGTCCTTTCACAAAATTGGGCACATATTAAGCTATAAAGAACAAAGAAGAATTATATTAAAAAATGTCTTTACCTTACTTACCTTACCAGTCACAGAGCATCACATCTGCTATGTGCTATTGATCATACTGATTAACTCCTGATACAATATGGGAGGGACATCCCAAGAGCATGAAGACCAGGAGCCAAGAATCACTGGGGCCCACAGGAAAATGTTGAACTTAACTAGTAATTGAAGAAATACAAGCTGAAACAAGATGTACCTGATTCTTCAGCTTTTATAAATTTCAGCAAAGGCTAAAAACAAAATAGTAAATACTCATGCTAATGGGACACATACTTGGTACAACTTACCCAGCAGGCTGTTTGGCATTACATTATGAAAAGCCTGAAAGATACACATGTCTATTAACTCAGTAATTTCACTACTTAAAATTTATCTTAAGGAAGCAACCATATGCTCAAAGATTAAAATTTTAACAAGCCTATTTATCATAATGCTGTTAGTAATAGCCAAAAGTTAAAAAGTGAGTCCACAAAGGGCTGTTTAAGTTAGGTTGCATTCATTCAAAGACATACATTGCAGGCATTAAAAAATTAAATAGGGAAAATTTATTCACATGGATGGAAAGATAGGTTGATCAAAGTAGGTCACAGAAGCGGATGTATAGCATTACTTCCCTAGGGGATTATATGGTGTGTTTATATATAGATAATGTTTACATGTCTAGAAGACATATTGGAAGATATATACAAACATGTTTATAGAGGTCATCTCTGAGTGGGTGGGATTCTGAGTATGTTTCACTCCCTTTTGCTTATCTTTCTGATTTTTTTTCACTGTATTTCTTTTAAGGAGCCCTGATGGTACAGTGGTTAAGCACTTGGCTGCTAACTGAAAGGTCGGCAGTTCAGATCCACCAGCCATTCCATGGGAGAAAGATATGGCAGTCTGCTTCCATAAAGATTTATAGCCTTGGCAACCCTGTGGGATAGTTCTACTCTGTCCTAGAGGGTCACTATGAGTCAGAATGGACTCAATGGCAATGGGTTTGGTTTTTGGTGGTGTTTTTATAATAATTGTTTAATTAGAGAAAAACAGGCAACATCTTATCCAAATCACTGTGGAAGATAAAAGAAAATAAAACATTGCCATTTAGCAGGAGGTAGAAGATAGCAAAAACATAAGAAAAAAGCATAACATATGTCAAAACACCAAAGTTAATTTAATGATAAGTATAAATAGATCACACTCCCATATTAAGAAGATTATAGTTTGATTTTAAAAACAGTTACATGCTTTTACTTACTTCATCATTTGTTTCAACCACTAAAAACAAACTGATCAGAAAGTGAACAAAAAGAAGGCTGTGGTGACAATACTGATCCAGGTATGGTGGAATTATAGGCACAGAACAGTGCATCAGAAGGAATCATTGCACTGGTGAGAGGTTCAAGTACAGTGAAGACAGGGCATTAACTTGTGTATGAGCAAGTAATTACATAGGCAAAAAATAGAAACCAAACAGGATAAACCACACAGATAATATAATAGAAACTCAATAGAAATGAAAGACTATTGTATCTTCCAGGCTTTGACATAGTGATCAAAATTAAATGTCAGATATTTACATAATTAAAAAGGCATTATTAAGAGACATCAAATTCAAGAAGAGAACACACTTCACAAAATTGAGTATATACTAAGCTATGAGGAACACTGAATTACAGAAATAAAGCTAGCACAGGCTGCAGTCTGGGACATCAAGTTAGAAGTTGATGAGACTTCTGAAACACCAACATCAAAAATCA